TTTCCTTGAAAGAATTTAGGGAATTCCTGTGCAGAGGAGAAAGCTCTTGAGAGAATTTCAGGAGTGAGCTCACAATTGCAGAACATTATTTCAGCTGAGGTTGTGAAACCTTGTATTAGAGAGATGAAATTTGAAGGTAAGAAGTTTGAATGTGAGAMAGAACACACAAACACAGAATATCTCAATTTGGAAGGGACCCGTATTGATCATCAAGTTTAACTCTTCTCCTTTTAGGACCATATAGAACTAAACCATATAACCAAAAGTATTGTCCAGACACTCCTTAGACTCCTGACRGATTTGGTGCCAAGATCTGGGGAGCCTGTTGGGGTGACCAACTACCCTCTCAGTGAACCTTTTCCTCATGTCAAACCTGAACTTCCTCAGTGCAGCTTCATTCCACTTCCTTGTGTCCTGCTGCTGGTCACCAGGGAGAGAYCAGTGCCCTCCCTTCTCTGGGCCCCATGAGGAAGGTGTATCCTACTGTGAGGTCCCCCCTCAGCCTTCTCTTCTCCAASCTAAGCAAGCCAGTTGACCTCAAATGATCCTCATAAATCTTGCCCTCAGGGTGTTTCACCATCTGGGTCACCCTTCTCTGGACACACTTAAACAGAACTGATGTATTTTTTATACTGTGGCACCCAAAACTGCCCCCAGCGCTCGAGATGAGGCYSCCCCAGCCCMGAGCTGAGTGGGACAATCCGCTCCCTTGTCCGGCTGCCAATGCTGTGGCCAGGACAGGACTGTCCCTCCTGGCTGCCAGGGCACTGCTGGCTTATGTTCAACTTGACATAAAATTGTGGGAATTACTTAAAAATGTATGTGAGGAGTTCATTTTTCCTTCTGTTTGAGATAAATACTTTCAATAGRTTTAGRAAATAGTAGTTCAAGACTCTCAGCAAGTGTCAAACATCACAAYTGATGCAATCTAGAGAAACAAATGAAGTACTTATCAGATAAAATTAGAATACCTCTCTGACAAATTATTTTTTGTTTGAGTTAAGATGTAGAATGGTGGTTTAACTGGAAGTGGAAAGAAATTAAATACGGGAGAAATAGAATAAAGAGACAATTAGTATTCCTTAGACCAAATCTTAGAAGCACAAATGCTCTGGAAATAGGCGCCAGATTTCACAGGTGCCAGAAATCCTCTGAAACATCTGTTGGTCACCCGGCATAATGGAAAAGCAGGACTCTTGAACAACCTTTTAGGGCTCATGAATCCATATCATGTGCTTGGAAATAATCTGTTCCTTTTCAATGTTCCATGCAATGACAGGGTTTTTCTTCCAAAACATGTAACTTATTCCATCCTCTTTTTATGTCTGCTGCCTGCAACTTATCAGTTAGAAATGTAAATGTGCATAATTGTGGAATCATGGAATTACTGAGGTTGGAAAGGATGCCTGGATATCATCTAGTCCACCCCTTGTGCTCAGAGTGAGATTTCATTAATGCAGTTGTGCCTTGAGTCCACTGGTYTTCTGAGTACCCCTGGATTACACAACTTCTAAGCAATCTCTTCCACATTTTGACCCCTCTTCWATAAAATAGGTGTTTAATGAAGATTTAAACAGCATTTACTCTTGGGCTGCTTCTTTAGTGGCTGCACCTCAGCTTTACTTTGGGYTGCTGGTTGAAATCCTTTGAGCCAGTCATTTCAGCCACTTTTTGACACATTTCACTAGTTTGTACTTCATCATTAAATTTTACATGGGACAGGTTTAAAAGGCTTTCTGACTTTTTTTCAGCATCAGAGCTTTCCTTAGATGCTTTTTTGAAGACAAAAAGAACTTCTGGCCCATTTGGGTCCATTTAATCTTGTCCAGATTACTACATTTTTGTCGGTTAGCCTAGGACATAATGAGAAGATAATAATGGGCAAAGATCATSACATCCTAACTGAGGCACTGATGAGTCTGAGTCTGTTTCCTATTTTGTGAAGCAGACTAGTTTGGATGGGCCCTATGGACTCAGTGCTGTAATCCTTTTATCTTCCATGTGGGTTACAGTAATCAAATGTGCTTCTGACAAAATATGTGTCTGTGRAGGAAAGAAAAGCTTCACCTCTATCACTTCTTCAAGTRAATCTGTTATCCTTTTGCGAAGCTKCAGTTTTTCCAAGAATAATTTCAAAGGGAGACTGCTAATCATTTAAACATCTAGTTCAAGACATTATGTACAATAGTGCCTATTGTTCACACGTAATGAGCTGTCAGAGCCAAGTGCAAATATAGCTGATTTTGTGCTTGTATGGTTGTTCTAAACTGCAATATTGCAAATAAATGGTGTTGCTGCCGGCATGTTTTGTGCTATCACCACTTGCTGCCGCCGCAGATAGAGTGACGCACTTCTCTTGCAAGAGGGAAGTAGCAGCATCTATATTGATGTAAATCAGCGATATAACAAAGTTTGGTACTAAATGCGTCAGCAGTTTAACAACATTTGATGGTAAGGTATACTTGATTGTTTACAGCACAGAGGATGGGGTCAGACAGAACTGTCTAGGAGAGCCCCCCTGTTGAATCATGATGTCCAGAAAGAACTCCCTTGTGTTCTGAATTTTGTGGCTGGATCCAGACTTAGTCCCAGACTTGGTCAGCAGTTTATGTCTAAAGGATTATATCTGCACAATCAATATTTTATGTCGTTTAGTTAAGACTTCAAAGTTTAGCATGTTACTAATCTCTTACCAAGAATCTTTCATGGCAGAGAATCTCTCAGCCTCAAGGAGAGGCTCAAGGGGAGATCCTGGCTCACAGCCCCTGCCGTGTAGGAGAGCTGGACAGATCTCGGGCTGTCCACTGTTTATGGAGTAAGGTGATTGACTTACGGTCATATTTGCACAGCAGCCGTGTTTCGTTTGGCGCATGCTCAACTGGCCCTCAGCTGTTGAACAAGACTTGGGGCCCTTAGGTGTCAAGTGAGATTTATGGCCCTTAACTATTGTGTTGATATCTGTGAGCCAGATGTAGCCGTCACAACCACCCCGSGTGGCTGTTGCTTAAGCAGAAAACTGCAGGGGTTGGACCACATCGCCACAGCTGCCAACAGTGAAACAAAATGTTCTSAGTACAATCAGGTAATCAGAAGTTAGGACATTTCCCTTTGTCGCCCATAAAGTAGCTGAGAGATCTTTTCTGCTGCTGAGCAGGATTTCAAAATATTTTGGAAAGACTACTGGAATAATTTTTTCTGTCCTATTGTAATAGAATTCTGACTTTGTCATGTAAAGGTCATTTCCCCTTGTTAATGCCATAGTGAGTGTTTTGAAAAAGGAATTTGTCAGTAGTCCTTGGTAGCTCACTTTAGTCAACAGCTGGCTTAGRCTTTATAACTTTGTTCCACACTAAGCTGTCCCTTTATTTTTGGAAAAGAGTTGTAACTCACTGCTCAGTTACTCTCTCTAAAACTCAAGAGTTCTTCTGAAAGTCAGAAATTAAAGTAACACAAGACTCCTTGTAGAATTACATATGAATGGGACACACAATCAATTATATTCTCATCCTGGTGAAATATGAGCAAGCACTTTCCAACAAGTGTGATAATAGAATTCGGCTATGCACATTATGGGATAAACAGACCCCATAAAGATGTAAAAATTTACTGTGTGTGGATCTGTCAAATCCACTTGTTTTATGATGTGAACCAGGAGGTTYTGCTTACGGATTTCACTTTGGATAACCACACACAGGATGACTTTTTTTATTATACTATTGTGGTATAATACCACTATGCATGATTCATGCTTTTACATGAAAATGCTTTCTATTTGTTTTAAACATCTGTTTAATTTTTCCCTCTTTTAAGTTGAAGGATTTTCTCATTTGACAGTTGGGGGGTACTCTTTGGAATTTTTAAAATATAAATACAGAGGTGCCAACCTTTTTACACATTGCACTGTAGAAGGAATCCTTCTACCAGAGAAATATCTTCATAATCACATTTGCTTTCCATTATTTAGTGATCTATCTGTACATTAAAATTATACACATAACAGAAAGAAAATTCTGGGTGTACAAAAAGACTCTTGCTGCTCTTTCTTCAGCTAGTGCTAACTCACTAAAGGAAAATTCTCTTGCAATGTTACTTTTTTCTTGTTCAGGCTCGGGTAGTGTAGCCCTAAGCATTCAGTTTGCATTTRCTCAGTAGTTCTTTAGATGTTATTTGTGTAGTTTTGCAGACTGATTTTTTCCCCTGGTTATTTAAAGAGCCAAATGTGAAATCTRGTCTTCTTTTCATAGTCACCCCCTAGAAACCAGATGATTGTGAATTATTCAAATAATGTGGGCACCAYGTCTGACTGCTTAAAATTCTTTTAAAAGCTGACTTGCATGGTTGTGAAGAAGTAACTTTCCATGTTGAATTAATGTTATTTTTATTTAACATAGAAATGCTACTAGTTCAGAATTGTTTTGGGTGCTGCTGCTGTGCCAAAAATCATGGCAGCGATAATGTRCTTAGGAATTAAGAACGTAACATACTACTCTTTTTCTATCAGTGTGCCAYGTTCCTGAGACTTAGACACTGTCCTTTTAGAAGAAAAGGAAATGTGGTTTTCCTGATTTCACCAGTTTATGAGTTACTGCACTGTCATTTATTGTCTAACATCCCCTTGATGGTCCAGAGATTACTTCCAGGGCAGCTGATTTCTACCAGGGGCAGGGGTGCACATTTGGAATGAGTTCACAGGTCACATCAGTGACCCTGACCTCTCTTTGCCCCTTAAATGTGTGTTCATTTTAATGTCAAGGTTAGCGCAGGGTGCTGTGGCTTGGCAGCCCCTCAGTGACACAGGGTTCCAGGCCACTGCTGCAGTTTGAGTGAGAAGCCCAGGTGCTGCACTCAGGGCTGCCGGGCAAACTGCCCTGCTGCTGGCCTTCCCTGAGGGACAGCAGGACCAGGGCACACATTTGGATTTGGTCAGGTCGCCCTCCTACCGCAGGTGACCTTTGCTGTTCCAGAACTCATCTCTTGTCTCTTCCTCCTTTTTCATGCAGGTGCTGGGATGGCTGGAGAAGGCTGTGATTTGCAGTTGAGCTGAGGGAGGCGTGAAGCATCGTCCATCCCCTGCTGACATTTGAGGTAATGTGACAACTTTTATCTTACCTGCCAGTGACTTTATTACCAAGGTTGGCTAAGCTGATGGATCAATGGTATCCTGTAGTACCCTACAGATAATCCTCATGGATACCAGGGTTCATTTCTGCAGCAGATGATAATTAAATACATGTTTTCCAGAATTCTGATTGGGATCTAATTGTCATATTTTCATACTCAAAACAATAGAGATATGTGAATTAGGGCTGTCAGATTTAATCCTGTTTAAAATGATAATTTCGAGCCCTTTTGTCAATCTTTTGTAGTCAACATTTGAGACAGAGGGCTTGGTGACTTTTAAAAGTGCTTAAAAGCCACTTTACCTTGTCAGAGAAAATTTACTRTATTGCATTTTAACAAGCCATTTCCCACTTAGAGTGTTACTTAGGATATTAATTACCTTTTAAAATGCATTCYTTTGAAACAAATAGAGAAAAAAAAATCTGTATTTTACAAGTGAGAGAGAATGTGAAAATGCCTATCAGAACATTGTAGAYAGCAAATCATGGTTTAAATGACACTTACAAGTGTCATTGAGTTTGATTGTACATATTGGTTCTAATTCATATCCAGAATATATTACTGAAAGCCTAATCAGAATACAGTGGGGTAAATTTGAATCAGACATCACAGGAATATGCCGTTGTTTAAGGGGTTCAGACCTGTTGTTACTCACAGCGTGAAGCTGAAAAGCTGTTATCTGGTGTTAAATTGCTGCATGAGACTTTACAGCTGCTATCTGTGTACTGTAGCAGTTTTATGAGACTTGAACTGGCTATTCCTGTCTTAAGTGTACACAGCTGTACTGTCATTAAATAGAAGACAAATTCTGGATACTTCTTTTTTTGGTTAAATGACAGTAGGTAAAATTTGCTATCCTGTCTGTTTTCTTAATGTTTCTAAAACCAAGTGGTAGAACTCTAAATYCATTCATTGCACAATGGATCTTTGCTTGGGAGATTTTTCTATACCAATTTCACCAAGAAGTTAGAAGGTCAGAATAGAGCAAAGTTACTTGTAAAAATGCTTGTAAAGTATGCATCAGTTAGTTATTAGCGACGTCTGTAACCAAAGCCTCCTTTGTTGTGGTTACCACATGCCTTTTCATACAAGAGTTAAGCACACGTGAAAAACAGTTTATGAATTATTTCTCTTATTTTATAGCTGAAACATGGCAAAATAGCAATATAGAAAACTGCTTCTGTGCTCTGTTTTCCTGGCTTTCCRTGCCCAGTGAGACATTTGATCCATAACTAAACCGCCCATTCCCGATTCCTCTGCCAGCAGCTGTGCAAGAAGCATGCCTAGCACTGGGAGAACGCAGCTTGGACACAGGRTCTGGCCTCRTGTCTGAGCTCCACCACAGACTCACTCAGGGGGTTCTGTCACTCTCTGTAACCTTGCTGTGTTTCAGTTTCCTGTATGTAAACAAAGGCTAATAATTAGGAATTTTCAGAAGGGAGCAAGGGATCCCAGTCCTTAGGAAATGCTGTTATTTGCACAGTGCCTGTTGAATTTGATGTGATGTTGACTCAGTGTCACCAGGGGAGAATTTAAACCTTTTGCATTCAAGTGYGACTGGTTTTTATTTTTTTTAAGTGTATGAAGCTAGTCACCTGCTATCAAGTGTGATTGCTGAAGAAATTGTATGCAATAAGTAATCTAAAAATCYGGCCTGATTTATGCATTAGGGCAATTCAAAACTCCAACTGCTGTGATGTTCCACAGTTTTAATAAGGTTGGGAAAAACATAMCCTATGAGGAAGTGGTTAATTTAATATTGCTGTACAATTTGTATTGAACCTAAGAGCAATCACTCTCATCAACACTTATGTGAACTTGGCTGGTCTCACATGATTGGTGTGATTGGTAAGTGTCATACATATTTTAGGAGTAGATGGTATCATTGGTAATGACTTCTTAAAAAAGAGGATAAAATATTTTTTTCTGTATGTTGCAGTTTTTCTTAAAATGGAACCATTTGATCTCTCCTGAAATAAAGCTTCCTGTGATATTAAATGTATTCAGTATAAGAACTACTGAAAGGAACAGTTGCACTCTTTCCCTCCCAGGCTAACACTTTCTACATGGCCATGTGGCTGAGGCTGCTGTTCAAATCCCAGGGCTGTGTGAAGTGAGTGCTCACTGGTGCCCTGATTAAAGGGAGAGAGCCAKTTCCTGAGACTTTTGCTGACAGGCATCTGTGCAAACAGCATTGCTACCTACTTCAGTATAAAAACGGGTACTGAGGCAAGGCTGCTGGTCAGACTTCACAGGATTTGGGTGCTGTGCTAGGCCAGAGGAGCCCCCAGCAGGGCCTTTCTAAACTCCCTCCAGTGCCCTGCCCTTTAGTCTGCTCGTTTTTTTGAAATGCAGGTCTGAGATCTAGCTTGGTTTGGCATTTATTTTTGTGAATAGACCGCACAAAGTGAGTTTGTGTTTGAGAAGTACTTAGAGTGGTTGTGGGTGAAGGCCCAGGCTCAGCTGCTTCTCACGGCAGATACCTTATGAGTTTTATCTGTAAATATATATTTCCTCTTGTTCCTGTGTAAAATAACAATAACAACAATGGAAAAATGTGCATACTCTACTCTCTTTTTATGAACAGTTGAATGTGCTCCAAAGTTTCACTTTTTAAATAAATTGGTATTGTGGTGGAGTTCCTGCAGAGAAGGAAGTCATAAAATCAGTGGACGTGGACACACTCTGCATTGGCCAGCCAGCTTTGCACTGGGCAGYTCTGTTGTTCATAGCACCTGTCTGTTGAAGAGTATCCCATTCTGAGCTGGTCAGTCCAAAGCTCATGTGTTTTATGTGTGATGTCTAAAATCATCGGTTGCAGTGCTGAACTATGAATGCTTCTGTCTCTGACATTTGAGAAGTCGTATATGTGGTATGATAAGCTTAACTCTTCTACACTGGTGTTACCACAGCTGAAGAGCACGGTTCATTCCTACTGTTTGTAAAAGAGCTATATACTTACTAAGAAGGTTTTTCTAGTTGCATGAATGTTTCAGATGAGCTTCTCTTAATTGCAGTTCTTTCTGTCTTAATGCAAACTGTCAATTTGTTGGTTTCAGTTTGGTTTTGGCTTTGGGTTTTTTTTATCCACGATGGCAATATTTTGTGTTGTTGAGATGGCAGGCAGTGTATCCACAAGACTGTAATATTCTGTGGTAGGTAAGACATTGGAGGGGATTGCAGTTCATGCTTAACTCTGCTGCTAGGCTGTGGTGTAAGTGTGGGCATGCTGTTCCTCTTTGCAGAGTGTCCATTTCCTTTAAATGGATAATGGCACTGACTCCCACTGCAGACTGCTCCAGGATCTGCTGACGGAAAACATTGCCTGACATTATTAAAATACCTCTTTACAAAAAGAGCTGTCAAATTGCCTTTCAAATTAATATGGTTGTTTCCGTGGCTTATTTTACAGACACTTCTTCATTGAAGTGTTTTCTTAGAGGAAGTGGTGGGCATTGAGACARAGCTCTGTCAATTTCCAGTGTCCATTTCTAACTACAACCTGGCATTCTTCTTTAAGTCCACTGCAGACAAAGCTGTCATTGTAGGACTATGATATCTGCAGGTGCCCACTCAGATTTACTAGGAGGTAAACTCTACTAGTGTTCAGTAGGTCATTTAGTATAGAGATTACCAGGCATGTCTGTTTGGATTTTTCCCCTTAAAAGTCAGGCTGTCGTGACCACTCACTGGACAATCCAAACTTTTCTTCACTTCTTTGGTAACCCATCTCGTTTCAAAGTTTTTCTGGATCCCATGTCACATACCTCTCCAGTGGAGGAAAAGTCTTTACTTGAGGCTTCCCATACCCCTTGCTCATCTGCCTCACAGGATAGAATCTCCTTCTCTCATACATAAATATTCAGGATATAAATATATATATATAAATACAGAGGATATAAATAATGAGCTGAATACTTGTAAAGTTGTGCCTTCAGGTTTCATCAAAGCCCCAGTGTGCCTTCATGCATGTGTGTAAGCATGTGGATACAAAATAAACCCTGCTTCTGCTGCTTCCTCGGGAAGAATTCTTTCAGGACCTGTGATAGTTGAAATGGCTAAAATAAGGCCATGATATGTTATAAAATGTGAATTGGAAGAAGTAATTGAAGCCCATGTAAAATAAAGCGGTGTACTTAGTTTATTCATTACATAGGCTTTCAGTAAATTCTGCCACCAAAAGAAGCTAATTAGTCTCCCTGTATTTGAAAATACTATGCACTGTGGCCCTGGAAGAATCTTCAATTAAAAATTAACAGCATTACTCCTGCGGCTTTTGGCTTAAAAGGTGTCATCAACAGATGTAGCATAAAAATATGTATCAGAAATTATTGTTTCAGTGTAAAGGTTTTAGAGATCCCATTTGCATGGTATCTAAAAATGCTCATATGGTTTTAAGCCACTTTGGTAAAAGTGGGCATAGTCTTTTTCTGTATGTGAGATGCTTCATCAAAACATATTTTAAAGTTGGGTATTTTATATTGCAGATCTTAATAGTGCAAGTGGAGGCAGCAGTTAAAAGACTTTTAAAGACTTTTATGAAAGGTTTGAACAGAGATCAGCTTTTCTTCACAAGTTATTTCTTACCTCATGAAAACTTGTTTTGGCAGCACTGCATTTAAAAATACTGAATAATCATCTCTACTAGCTGGTTTCATTCAGTATTTTTCAACTTTGTGCTGATTTTCACAATTAAGGATCTAGCTCAAAATCTCTCTGTATGTCTACATGAAGTAGTTTAAGCAGTTGTTGAATGCACTAAGCCAGTTTTTTGGGTGCCCACCATTTATATATTCAGATTTGTGTGGACTTGAGGCACCAAATCASCATCAAATAGGGCCAGAGGGTAATGCTGGTATGATCTTACAGAGGATACATGGAAAGCCAATCATACTGCTTCTTATTAACACAGAACTTCTCAAAAAGATAATTTTCCTTACAGTTATCATGAAAAACAGTTGCAT